CTTCCAGGGGACTACTCCTTGGAAGAGAAAGTCTTACAACCCTTTGTCAGTATATGGCAGGAACTACAGTTGTTTTCATGTGCAGAGAAACTTTGATGGATAATTTGGATGACTACTATTATTCTCGTGTTTGGTGTCATTGTAAATAGGATTTTATACTAGCATCCATCAAATGTACTGAATTGGTAGTGGTGGGATAAGTACCGTGAAATGCACCTGAAATTCAATAACTTTGGGGCATAGCTATGACTTAAAGGCTACTAAGCAGGCAAAGAAATGAAATACATGTGACACTTTTAACTTAGGAAGGCATATTCTGTAAAACATTAAAGATGATGTTAAGAAAATATAAGCCTGGAACTGGAGAAATGGCTCAATAGTTAAGAGCATTGGCTGTTCTTGCAGAAGATCCAGGTTCAAATCCCAGCACCCACATGGCAGCTAGCAACAGCAGGTAACTCCAGTTCCAGGGGATCCAATGCTCTCTCTGTCCTCCATGGGCACTGCATGACACGGGTGCACTTGCATACATGCAGGCATAACATTCCTATATATAATAATAAAAATAAAGATAATTTTTAAAAAAAATTCAAGCTCAAGCTGGGCATGGTGGGGCATACCTTTTTCCCAAGCTCTCAGGAGGCAGAGGCAGGAAGGTTTCTGGGAGATCCAGGCCAGCCTGGTTTACATAATGAGTTCTAGGTCAGTTGGGGCTACAGGTAGACCTTGTCTCAAAAAACCAAAGAGATAGAGACAGAGAAACAAAGAGAAAAGACAATATAAGTTCAGCAGTGTCAGAAGATACATGCCTGTAATACCAGTACTTATGAAGCCGGGAAAGGAAGATGGTCAGTTTGAGTCCAAGTTGGGCTTCATAATGAATTCTGGGTTAGCCTGGGTTAAAGAGTGAAACCCTATCTCAAGAACAAAAAAGAAAATAGAGGGCAGCATTGATACAAAGTTAAGGGCAGTGGACTTAGCAGCCTCCTAACTCATCTTCCCTGGTGTGTGTTTACTATTGGGAAAAAGTTATTCTAAAATATATTTTCAATGGCGCCAAGTTCCCAGCTTTGCATCATTTATAGAAAGCACATCACACAGAAAAATGTTAGCGGCAAATTTAAGTGAGGAAATTCTGGAGGCATTGAAGAGTAATGTTGGCATTCAAGAAAAGACATCTAAGCTGGAGCGCAAATGGAGCGTTATCTCTGTAACGCCCAGTGGACAGCATAGATTAAGAGAAAGTAAAAAACACAATCCTCTGAAGCCACCAAATTCTAAACACAGGAGGAGATACAGAGACAGAGAAAGAAAATTTGAGAACCCAGAATGCACAGGTATGTATATTCCATGTATATATTTGTAGCATCTCATTTATCCTCACACTTCATATGCATCTTTTCATACAATGAGAGCAGCAAGAAAAGAGGGGCGAAGCTGTGCTGCCCGGTTCTTGCAGGTCTCCCTGACCTTACTGCCTCCTTGAAAGGCACCAGGTGATATGGGTCATCAAGACAGAAAAACTTTGAGGGAGAGAATCCGAACTAACTCAAATGAAACGAGTCAGTGTTCCTGAACGCAGTAATTGATCCCCCTATCCACCCCAGTTTGCAAAAACACACATCCAGATATTGTTTTTCATCTCATTTTCATATTGCCACATCAAACCCATCAGCAGGACCTAGGGATTCTATCTCTTAAATATATCTACCCTTTGCCATGTCTTCTGCCCACTACCTCGGACCAAGTCACACTTATCCCTTCCCTAGAAAGCTCTAGTCCCATCCTAGGCATGGCTTTAACCTAATCTCCATGAAGCAACTATGTAGGAGCACTTAGTTAATTAGACTGGTTAATTATTGTTAGGGCTGTGTTGAACATTTCAGACTGTTTACCAGCCCTGGGGTCTGTCCTCCAAATGTCGATTGCATCTTAAATACATGCCTCCACTTCCAAATGACTCTCCAGAGGGTGGTGGTTCTGCTCACCACATCACATTCCATCCTCAGGCTGGGAACCATGGCATCCAAGCGATCTTTCACACAAATCAGACCACATCACTCCATCTAAAACCATTAGTGTTGCCAGGCCAGTTGTTAACTGTAGCTCAAAGGGTTCACAGTTGGTTAAGGTTGATGATTGATTACTTTTGTCTCACCAGAGAAGCTTCCTCATGCAGCAGATGGCAATTAATACAGAGACCCACAACTGGTCAATGTGCAGAAACATGGGACCATGGAATGCTTGGTCCTCAAAGGGACACCTATATTATAGCCTATTCTGCACAGCTCAGGGATCATTGCAGAAGAGGGGACAGAAGGATTTTAAGAGCCAGAGTAGGAGGATGACTACAAGGTGTGCTGGATAGCTCCAGTTGTCAACTTGACACATCTGGGTGGAGGGAACCTCAGTTGGTGAACTGCCTCCATTGGATTGATCAATGGCCATGTCTGTGGGAAATTTTCTTGATTGTTGCATGAGCTGGGAGGGCTCAGCCAACTGTGGGTGGTGCCACTCCTGAGCAAGTGGTCCTGTGTTGTGTAAGAAAGCAGGCTGAGCATAAGCCAGGGAGCAAGCCAGTGAGCATTGTTCTGTGGCCTGTGCTTCCATTCCTGCCCTGAGCTCCTGCCCTGGTTTCCCTCTATGATGAGCTGTAAGCTGAAGGTGAAATGAGCCCTTTCCTCCCCAAGTTGGTTTTGGTCAGTGTTTTTATCACAGCAATGGAGAAGCAAACTAGAACACAAGGAAATAGTGTTTTCCAGACAGCTGGGCAGCTGCAATAGCAATTGTGATAGCATGCACAAGACCTATGAAAGCTCAAGCCAGACACAATCCCAGCATAGACAGGAGGAGGTGGACAAGAAACCCCAGCTCTAGCTGAGGGACTATTGTTAATTAGCTGGGAGAGGGAAAGTCAGTTTTCTTTAACAGTGTGACACCAGGTAGGCTGACCAGGCACCAAGGGATGAACCCACATCAAAAAGCACTTGGGATGCAAATTAGACTTGATAGACCTTAAAAAAAATAATAATAGAGAACATGAAGTGGGGGAGGGGGTAGTAAGGCTGGGGATGGAGATGGGGGAGGGGTCTGAATATGATCAAAATACATTGAATGAAGTTCTCAAAGAATCAGCTACAATATATATTTTTTTAAAAAACCCAAAGTGTTTTCCCAGTGCTGATAGTACCATCTGAATTCCTCCTGGGGTCCTCAGGGCCACTTGTAACCTGGTTCCCATCTTCTTCTCCAGCCTCTTTCTTGTCCCTAACCATATCAATCTATTTCTGCCACAGAGCCCTGGTGCCTGCCATTCTGTCCCAGAATGTCCTCCCTTGCTGTCTTGGCTGATTTCTCTTCCTTCAAGAAGGCCATGCAAAGCTGCCAGGGGCCATATTGGGCAGATGGAGGCAAACAGAGACAGGCACAGGTAAGAGATGAGTGAGACCTGAAGACATTTTTGAACTTCCAGATCCAGCTGTGCCTTAGGTAAGACTAGCTCGTTTGAATGTTCGGCATACAAGGCAATAAATAGCATTCTCCTTTCTACTCATTGTGGCTGTGTGCTTGCTGCCTGCCTTAGGACATCTCTGACTAGTGCTTGGCTCACCCTTTCACAGCCATTCCTGTGTGTAGCAAGAGTGGAAAGTGGCTTAATCTCTTACAGTCCCACATGAAAAGTGCCTCTTTGAGGTTGATCCTCTGGCAAGTTTCCACAAGGAAGGACCAGAATCTCCACCATAGAGCTCCACTGGCACTTGCCCATTGCCTATCATCTCCGTTCTCTCTTCCATTTCTTCCTCTTTTGCTGTAAATATACTTGGAACTGTTTTTTTTTTTTTCTTAAAAGAGAAAACTTACTTCCAATTATTTATTCATTCACATTACACCTGATCTCTCTGTAGTCTGCCTGAAAGAGGAGACCATGTCTGCCCTCCATTTCCTCATCGTGTCCCAATGGGCAACCCTTGGCGTCCACGTCACCCTTTCTAGTGTGATCACACATGTGGCCACCATGACCTCTCAGTCAGTCAGCTAAGCAGTGTGTTTTCTCAGTCCTCATCCTACTGGCTCTTCCTCAGCATCCAGCTCAGCTACCCACGCCTTCCTTTTCTTATGGAGCTGCTGTGACCTCCATGGTTTTCTTTCCTTCCTGGACATTCCTTCTGGTTACTGGAATGCAATGCCTGATTCAGGCTTCAGCTGGCTGTTGTTCTTACCTTTGAAATTCTTTCTGGAATGTCCCAGCAGTAAGGTGTAGCAGAAAGACTTCATGCTGATAAATAAAATTTGACACTGCCAAGTTCCCACCCTATAATGGAGACTGCTTATTCCCCATGCCATCTGAGCACCTGCAGAGTGTCTACAGATGTTCTCTGGGTCAGTTGCCTAGGCATCCCCTCTCTAATTGTTCTGAAACCAGAGCTTTAACTTTGGTCATAAAATGGGTAAACTAGAAAGACAAACCCTGCATCATAAAATGAAGTGTATGCAGTACACTCACCAGGTATTTTGTAGAGTCAGCTCTCTCGTTCTACCTTTCCATGGTTCCAGGGACTGAACTCAGGTTGTGAGCATTGCGTGGCAAGCACCTTCACTTTCTGAGCCACCTCGCCAGCCCAGCGAACAGGTATTTTAAACATACATAAGGACAAATATAATCAAGGAGAGATTCCTCTGTTAATTACCAATCCCTTCTTACCTGAGAGTTGTTGAGAAAAGCCAGTAGTTGATCTGTCTTTACAAATCTAGGCACTTGGCCCTCCTTTAAAATATTTTCTTTCCTTCATGCATGAAATATTTGTTTTCTCATGAGGAAATGGTCATCTCCTACGAGCTTCAAGCACATCCCAGTCTCACACTTCCCTACATGTCACAACCCAGCAGATTTGTGTTCTCTTATGTTTCTATCCCTAGGTAGACTTTGCTGGTGAACATTGGTGCACTTGGTGAAATGAGAAACCACATACACAAGCAAACTGAGATAAAGTAGGCAAAGATCATGACCACATTTTGGCCTAGAACCTTCTTTTTACAGAAAAGCCCTCAGGTACTTTTATTCACAGGCAGATACAATCTTGGCAAGAGCACCTTTCAAAGTCACAATTCTAGCTGTTTTGAATGACATTAGCCAGAAGGTAGAAAAACAAAAGCAGTGGTTTGTCATCAAAACAATGGCAGTGATGTCTGGTTTGTGCCATCCATCAAATATAACTGTCATCTCTGCTCCTACTCTCTGAGGAACAGAGAGGTACTGGAATGAAAGCCATGATGTGGCATTTGCTTTGGACAAGGCGTCCCCATGTCCAGACCTGGACACAATAGTGACTCTGTCCTCTGTGCCAAAACTTCTCACCCAGCTGTGTCTACCCTAGATCTTGAAGTATCTGACCCTCCCTGGGCACAGGCGCACCACTGCAGCACCAGCAGCCCCGGGAACACTAGGCTGGGCCGGCTGGTGCAGTTTGAAGGCTTCTCCTGAGGCTGACTCCACTGAGGCCACAGGTGAGAAGACATGGCGCAGGTCGAAGTGGGCTCCGTGCAACGGAGGTCCTCGGGGAACTGGTGCCACCACAGTGTTGGCTGCAGGGGCTGCAGGTGGAGCATGGTCCACAACAGTGTCAGTGGCTGCTGCAGGGGCTGCAGGTGCAGCATGGTCCACAACAGTGTCAGTGGCTGCTGTGCTGGCGCTGGCTGACTGGGGCTGCAGGGGTATAGGTAGAGAGGAGACCATTTCCTCAGGTGAGACTGCTTCCTCCTCCCAGACAGGCCACCCTGGGTGTGAGTTGCACCCCCTCCCCAATTTCCTCACAGTAGTGATTTTTATTTGTGAGAAATTTAGCAAGAAAGAACTACAGAGGTCTATCACAGGAAGAGGTAATTAGGCCCCACAGTCTCATAGGATTACCTTAGTCACAATAGATTTATACAAGCACATCCCAAGATTATAAGCATCCCCACAATCTCACAGGATTGCCTTAGTCACAATAGATTTACATGAGTAATCCCATGAGTACAAGCATCCCACCCACAGAGACCCTTCACCCTTTATCATCTGTACCTGGGAACTGTCAGGCAGATCTGCCCAATTGGTCTCTGTAACTAAGAAGCCCACTCCCACCTTTCACAAATAAAAAGTTGGCCTGCTTAACTACACACTAGGATGATTCTTATTTGTAGCCACCAGAGCATGAGAGGGAAGGACATGAGTGAAATAACCCTGCACTCTGCTGACAATTTTACGTATGCCAGTGTTATGTCCCACTGTAAGGTTCAGGACAGCAAATACCCTATTACTACTAATACACTGCAGAAGAGTTAAGGGCTCATTGTGTCCTGAAGATGCAAACAAGAATTTCCATGAAGTTACCTGGGTTTGGAACAGCTTGCAGGATACATCAACCTCTTCCCCACCAAGTTTGTGAACGAGCCTTGCCTTGCAGAAGCCGTATTGCTGCTCCCAGAAAGAGAGGAATTGAATTGTACCTTGTGTTAAAATGTGGATTTCTCCTCCAGTTTCATTGAAAGTAGTATTAATACACTGAAGCAAAGAAATTTAACTCATCTAGCTCTTTTTTTTTTTTCATTTGAGACAAGGGTCTCACTATGTAGCCCTGGCTGGCCTAAAAATCTCTATGTAGACTAGGCTGGCTTCAAACACAAAGAGATCTGTCTGCTTCTGCTTCTCAGCTCCTGGGATTAAAGGTGTACACCACCATACCTGGCCTTTTAGTTCTTCTTTTTGAAAGTTTTGGATTTATTTTTATTTTATATGTAAAAGTGTTTTGCTTGCATATATGTAAGTGCACCTGCATTGTGCAATGCCCACAGAGGCCAAAAGAAAGCATCAGATTCTTTGGAACTGAAGTTACAGATGGTTGTTTGCTGCCATGTGGGTGCTGGGAACTGAACCCAAGTCCTCTGCAAGAGCAATCATTGCTCATAACTTCTGAGTCATCACTCCAGCCTGCTTTTAATTCTTCTTCTTCTTCTTCTTCTTCTTCTTCTTCTTCTTCTTCTTCTTCTTCTTCTTCTTCTTCTTCTTCTTCTTCTTCTTCTTTTTGTCTTTTTGAGACAGGGTCTCTCTGTAGCCCCAGCTGTCCTGGAACTCACTATGTAGACCAGGCTGGCCTCGAACTCACAAAGATCTGCCTGCCTCTGCATCCCGAGTGCTGGGATTAAAGGCATGCGCCACCACACCCGGCCTGTTTTTAATTCTTCTTTTTAAAAAACTTTTCCAAGTTTATTATTTCTGGGCAACACTGTTTTGAGATGTTATTCCCATATCCTGAATAATGAGAGTCTCTCTCTCTCTCTCTCTCTCCCCCTCCCTCTCCCTCTCTTTCCCTCTCTTCTCTCTCTCCACATGCACATATAGACACATACACATTAAAATAAAAACTATCTTTTTCTTAATAAAACTCACATCTATACTTAATAAACCTCATATCTATACCTCCTAACTTTGCCTCAAAATATTTATAGTTTCTGGTTACAAAACAAATGTGACATGTAATTCTACACATAACAGAAAACCCAGAAACTATGCTACGAGAGGGAGCATGATCAGCCACAATTCCCGAGGTGAAGAGAGCTACTATTAACATTTTTTTTTTGGTCTTTTTGAGACAGGGTCTCCCTGTAGCTCCAGCTGTCCTGGAACTCACTATGTAGACCAGGCTGACCTTGAACTCACAAGGATCCACCTGCCTCTGCCTCCCGAGTGCTGGGATTAAAGGTGTGTGCCACCACACCTGGCACATTTCTTTATTTTTAAATATAACTTAAAATATAACTTGGGATCATTGTGACTATAGTGCTTATGCCCTGTGCCTTTCACTCATTCTAAGAGCATTTATCTCATGTCACCCATTATCCTATATCATTTTATACTTACTGATGTGCCATATATATTCAACAACACACTCTTGTTGAACATTGGGATCTTTTCTCTATTTTTGGCCATTTGATATGTATGATAACATTTATAGCTGCATTTTTGTCAGACATCTCTGATACTCTCATTAAGCTAAATTCCTATAAGTACAAAGACTCAAATGTTTTCAAGTATCAGAGGTACATCTAAGAAATCAGTTCTTCACATTGCTAGCAGCCAGACACAACCAGGTTGCATTGGGAAACAGCTTCTGTCATTCCTGAAACTTCATGTGCTTCTAGTAGGTGTAATGATTTGATGACTGCTCTTAAAAGGGGAGGTGACACCCTAAAGGAAGGTCTGGCCTAGGGGAGCCCCATAGTGAGTATATATTTTACACTGTCAATTTTTACTTTATTCCTATAGCCTCAAGGTGCAAACTGCAAAGAGATTCTTTGCTGTACAGCCAGCTTTGCCTGGTGGTAAGAGTCCTAGGGTCTAGCCCACTCACCTTTTCCGCCAGCAGGTTGCATTTGCCTGGATCCGTGACTGCTTTAGCAGTACAGTCTGTAGCAACTATTGCAAATTCCACAAGGGTAGAAACTGGGACAGACTGGTAATAAAAATGAAAATGTACATGAAGAAAGGTGACCTGGATTAAAAGGGCAAAAGGAGGCCAGGGGAAAGGAAGGAGGGCGACAGTGTGGCACTGCTTAGGGAGCACAATTCTCATAGATCAGTTGTGTGGCTGGGTTGGTGAGGCTTGTTAGGCTACAGAGGTAGGAGCTGGGTCTTCCCGAAGGAGGAGCAAGTATTCATTGTTCATCATTCAGGGCAAAGGTAAATTTTCAATTAGGAAGCAGGAAGCCAGAAAGCCAACTTTATAAACACAGGAATGGGAACCTGGCATCTCCTGGCCTTCAACCTTGGGACTCAAGGATTGAGTTATTCCAGGCTCCATTGGGAAACTAAGAAATGACCCCATACCTGTTTCATACGCCAGGATCAAGTAAAAATAAACTAGATGACAATCTGAAAGACATTGTGCTCAGAGCCCGTGGACACTTGCGTAATCAAATATCTGCTATTTGGGGATGGGAATTTTCTGGGAATCACAGAATTACCACCTGTAGTAAGGTATTTGCATGTATACCATGACTAGAATACAGATTGCTAGGTTCCTGAAATATCAGAATGCTCTTGCATTCAAATATGTTAAACTTCTGTTAAGCTAGATGAGTTCCTTCCCGCACCTCCTGGATTTAAGAGGCAGATTAGAACCTGCCATTATATGTCTGCCATTGAATAAGTAGACTGATGCCTTTTTAAGTAAGTGTCAATTACCAGACTGCTGCAGATGTTCTTGGTGATGGGTGGTAAATGTGTGGAGCCCATGGAGTGGACCTGGAGTGTATTTACAGTGTGTCTGAACACAGTCCTGGTTTTAAATAGAACTAAAGTCAAACTGTGCCTACTTTAGCTAACTTATGTTAGTGTGGCTCAGCTTGGGGTGGGAGCACTGAGGAACTGGGGAGTTTCGCACCCCTAGAACCCTCCTGCCCCCCCCCCCCCTTCCAAACAACACCACCCTTGCCCTCCGGGTTCTTCGGCCACCCCCTTTTCCCCCTGCCCCCACGAACCCTCCTGCCCCCCCCCTTGCAGACAACACAGTCCTTGCCTTCCGGTTGCTACGGCCATACCTGTTTCCCCCTTGCCACACGTATTCCCCAAGAGTCACCAAACTGCCCAATCTGCTAAAAGAGTCTTAGTTTTTACCACGCGTTGAGCCCTGGAAATTTCCACCAGTTTGTAATAAGTCCCGTTGTTCTGCGCGTTGAAGGCAGCCAGCGCGACTTCGGCGGTGTGCATCACACTGGTGTCGTTGCGTGGGGCCAGCAGCGGGCACCTTGGGCAAATACTGCGCACATCCTCTGCGGAGTCTGGGCAGAAAGAACACGGGTCTCGCCTGCAATTCTCCAAGGCATTCACCAGGCTAGCTTAGTTAGAAAGGACTAAGCATGCTCTCCCGTGTGCCAGACCTTTTCTCTACTTCGCAACTAAACTTTCAAGTGGCTGTGTGAAGTCTGGCTGAGACACAGTTAAGGGGCAGTTTTCACCAGTGAGAACAGCTCCTTAAAGAATGGCATTAGAATCTCAGGACTCGGGAATCCTGACTTGTCATTCTCAGCACGAAGTGAGACTTCTGGGTTCAAAACCATTCTGATTTCTTTCTCGCTTTACAAGAGAAAAATGAGCAGATACGTCATCTCTACCTGGGGTGGAATGACACTGGGCGTGCGTCACGGTGTACTGGCCGTCTTGTTTCAGCACGTGGAAGTCACAGTCTCCCTCCACCGCCTGGAGAAAAACCCACCATGAGGTTCGGGAGTCCTGGTGCCTTCACTGCCCTCCAGAGGACCAGCCTCCCTACCTGCTAATTCTCTTTACAGGCTGTCAGAGGTAACCAGACCAAAGTAACCTTCCCAGGTCATAATGAAATATTATACTCTGCTTTCAATGACATTGAGTCATCTCTCTAGCTCCACCTGATTCTTTATTTATATATAAAAATCAGACCCGGGGAAGGCGCATTCCAGTGGCAGCTTTAGAAATTGCACTCTGCCTCACCAAAAAGGCTGCTGGGAAGTTTGGTAAAACCCTTCTGCCCTTTGCTGAACCAAAGCCACTCACGTGCTCGACCACCAGCCTCACAGAGCAGTTTGCCAAGGGGGTGGGGTCCAGGGCATGACAGGTGGTCTCCAGAGTGTCTAATTCCAACTCATACACCTCTCCAAAGGGCCGCTGTGGAGACAGAAGGAGGTGGTCAGCAGCCCCTCACCCATCCATCATGTGCCTGCCATGAGCTCTTGTGGGTCTGAGCCCAGGGCCCCTTTTGGAAAGCTAGGGGAGAGGCCATCCACTGTTGGTGCCAACCCCCTCTAGCTCAGCACTGGCTTTTCTGATTTTCCACTGTTGACAGAGCAAGGGTTTGAAATGCTACTGCAAGGAAGACAGGGCAGTGGGCTTGGACAGGTTTGGAGTCACAATTCTCAGTCTTGATTTAGAAACTAGAAGTGATGTTGATACTTTTTTTCTTGAACAAGTTCAACCTTTAAGCAGGGAGGCTAGTTGGTCTGGGATAATAGCTGTCTTTGCTTTGTTTTTCTATTCCTCACTCACCTCATTCTTTCTTTTTAAAAATATTTTATTTATTATTCTTATTTTATGTGTGTGAATGTGTTACCTGCATGTATGTGTCATGCAATGCTCATGGAGGTCAGAAGAAGGCATCGGATTCTCTGGAACTAGAGTTATGGACAGTTGTTAGCTGCCATGTGGTTGCTGGGAATCGAATCTGGGTCCTCTGCAAGAGCAGTCAGTGCTCTTAACCACTGAGTCATCTCTCTAGCTCCACCTGATTCTTTATTTATATAGAGTCCTCTCTACTGCATCCCTGGTTGTCTTAGTTTGTTTCTTCATTGCTGTGACAAAATACTCTGTCCACTACCAACTTGGGGAGGAAAGGGTTTATTCAGCTTACATCTCCTGGGTCGCAGTTCATCAGGGAGCCCAAGGTAGGAACTCAGGGCAGGAACCTGGAGGCAGGAGCTGGAGCACAGGCCATGGAGGAACGCTGTTTACTGGCTTGCTCCCCTGGTCCCTGCTCAGCCTTTCTTATGCAACACAGGCCCACCTGCCCAGGGGTGGCACCACCCACAGTGGGCTGGGCCCTCCCACATCACTCATCATGAAGACGCCCCTCAGACATGGCCACAGGCTAGTCCAATAGAGACAATCCCCCAACTGAGGCTCCCTCAACCCAGGTGTGTCAAGTTGACACTAAAGCTATCCAGCACACTGGTCGTCTCTGATGCTAGGAAACTGTCATCACTAGTATAGCTGTGATCTGGGAAACTTGCATAATAACTCTCTGAGGTTGTTCTTGTCCACCTGATTATTTGTCCTTTTTTTTTTTTTTAACATTCTGAAACCCCCCAAATTCTTGAAAAGCTCAACCTGGCACAGTTTGCCTCTCATTTCAGCTCTGCCTGAAGCCTCAGGACCTCCCCCACCCTCCTCACCCCGCCTCCCAAGCAGAAGCACTGCATTTTACAGGCAGGAATGTCCCTGGTAACTCCCTGAAGACAGTGTTTCCATGACGAGAAGCTTGCTGCACTTGGGTTTCCTGAAGAGAGTAACCTGAGAGCTCTGTCCATAGTGCACAATGCTCACCCATTGCCTTCTCCCGCCAATATGCACACTGGGTGTTTATCTCCAGAGCTCAGCAGGCTTCCTGCACTGAACCACTATTATGCCCTTTGCTGCAGTTGCTCTTAAAATCCACCCATGGAAACCCTGATTTTAAATCAGTTGCCTCTTTGTAATGTTGAAGTCAGTCATCAGTCTAGACATCCTAATGTTTATCTTATTTTCCCTCCTAGATCGTAAGTCTCCTGTGACACAAACGGTCTTTTTCATCTTTGTATTAAGTTGAATCACATAGAATTTCCAGCATTGTATGTCAAAAACAGCCAAATATTGGAGATTTTTATAGTTCAGCCTAATATCACCTATAACGTCTGTCATTGGTCCTTGCCTAAGGAAGGCTTGAAATGAACTTACTGAATTAATTCCCCCTAGTCAGTACAAAGCCCAGTTTCAGAACGAGCGGTCAGCAGGTGCCTTGTTCCCACCTCTCCACATCTCTGCTCTGCTCAGCAAGGCATGTTTCCATGCTTGTTCTTTATTTCCAGTAGCCCCAAGGTGATTTGGTTACTGTCTAGTGCATGCATGGAGGAGTAAATCGGATTATGCAAAGACCGCTCTGGGATGTGGATAACTTTGAGGGGAGTATCTTGTATTGAGGAAAGAACCCAGGTCTAGACTCAAGTCTCAGCTTGAATGCTCAGTAATGAAAGATCCTTAAACAAACAAACAAAAAAATGGCACCTCATCAGAGCCTTGATGCATGTATGACAAGGACATCATGTCTACCACCCAGGCCTGGGAAGGGGAAAGGGAGGGCTTAATGAGGAGGTGATCTATGTTAAAGGGTTGGCACACATAGGCACTTGTCAAATGCCACTCTATGCTTTTGTCAGAGATGGGTAGAAGACAAGAAAGGTAAGTGATTTCCAGAAAATGATACCTTGGCAAATAGGTGCCAATCTCTTGGGCCCAAGTCTTTCCAGCAAGTCATACTTTCCACCTGTAATCTGTAAAGTATCCTTCAAAGCCCCCCCTTTTTTTTGTTCTTCCTGTGGCCCCACACCCCATCTAGCACGTCTGTGAGATTCATGACTGCAGTACTGATGTCACCTCTCTTGCCCCTCCTCTTTCCATTTCTTGAACTTCTGAGAAGAAATTGGTTTCTTCTGCAGTAGTTTCATTTGTGCTGGGGGTTTTGGGGCACTGGGTTGGGCTCTATACATAGATTCTTTTAGCTCATTCATAATAGCAGGCTCACTTACCCGAGACCACACCTTGACTTTTTCAATCTGGTTCAAGATATGCCTGAATCCCCAAAGAAGGCGTTGATTGAGGTGTTCCACAGCCAACAGAGCCATGTGCTCTACTTCTGGGTCATCACATGCTAGTTCTCTGAAACCCAGGCTTGGACCATGTGGGGCTGACTGGCAGCCCCAGAGCTGAGCAAAGCAAAGGAGCAGGACAAGGGACTTCATGGCTGCCCCAGAAAGCCCCTGGCAGGTCAGCAGATGAATGGAGCTATCAGGACCAGCCCAAAGGTTCTGCTTGGAGAGCTAGATCAATGAAGAGGCAGAGGGCTTTATTTATCTGTTGGAGCCTACAGAAGGAATTGCATAAGAGCATGGGATGAATTCTGTTCTGGTTCCAAATAACCCCTGCAAACACTAGCTCTGGAAAAGCAAATAAGTTAGGACATCGCTGATCCCCAAGAAATCTGCCAAAGTCGATGCTGCTGTGGGGGAGATGCTCCAAAGTCTGCTTGGAACATGGCAACGACAGCAGAAGGATGAGGCAGCTGAGGGATGAAGTGGACACAGCCAGCCCAACACACAGTGGGCTAGAAGTAGAAGGGTCATCTGCCTGCATCTGAGCATGCCACGGGGCCCATATGGGGTGACAATACACAGTTTGCTGAAGTCTTCTGTTGGAAGGTGACCTCTTCCAAGAAGAGTCCTAGAGGAAGAGGTATAGAAAAGTCCACAGAGGTAGAAAAGATACACAGCATGGAGATGCTGAGCTCTTTGGTAAGATTCTTGGAGCAGAGAAGGAAGGAAGGTATTTCCTCTTGTTTCAAGAATGGAAGTGAAAAGAGGGAGTTCCGATGGCAGGGCCAGCACAGTCGTGTGGACTTCTCTCCTCCTTAGCCTCCTTCCTGCAGCCCTCACTACTAGGCCCTGCAGGGAATAGCACAGCCAGGCACAGACCTAGGTCTTCTGGGTGACTGACTCTTTGACACCAATAGCCCTGTGGTTTCATCTAGTGCACAAGTGCAGTGGAATGGAGTTCTAGCCCATGAACCATTCATTTGACAAAGCTCTGGGGTAGAGGCCAGCACTGCAGACTGAAACCCTGGACAAGCCACTAAGAACACACATCTCCTTGACACTCTTGAAAGACTTAGCAGGATGGTAGCACGTCTCAGTGTCCAGAGCAGGGTGTTGACTCCAGGTATTGCCTTTTAAGTGGCCTTTGACAGTCCCAAGTGTGACCTCCAAGGAAGGTTGGCAGGACAGCGACAAGCTTGGGGAATGTTATAAAAGGATTTGGTTTCACCTTGAGCAAAGAAGCCCTAACATGGAGACCAGCACATTCTTCAAATATTTAGAGGTCATTGCCACGTGTGGGTGGGTTTGTTCTGTGGTTTAATATTGCTTCAGAGAGAAAAAAACACTTGGGTCCAAAAGGGGAAGAAAAGAAGGTGATTTCTGAAGGGAATCTCATGGCATTGACTTAAGGGTCGGACTGGGTTGGGGTAGGAAGGAATGGTGACAGGGCAGAGGCTTGAACATTTGCTCCCAGACATGCACACTGTACAGAATGGAATGGCATGGCCTATTCAATCAGGCCCTGGGTTCTCTTGGAGAGGGGTCATAACTCCAGAGACATCTAGCCAGTCATCTAGCAAAGCCAACTTCTTATCACCTTTATGGAAATTTTATTCTAGGGCCTGATTTGTGAACTTTTTGTGAGTCTATGCTTTGCTTTAAAAACACCAAATATGTGCATTATTGAATATTTGGAAACATGTTCAGTGAGCTCAAAATTTGTAAGTCATAAGCTCAGGTATATACATTATAACTTTATTTTCCACAGCTCAATTGAATTTTTGACCCTGGGTCCTTATTTGTGAAAACTTAACATAGTCACTTTCACATAACCTGATTTCTCGGGTACTTGGGTTGGAACTCAGTCCCGCTCCATTGCTTTCCTTGCTTCATCCCCCACTGGGGTTAGAAATAAACCTTGTGGTGAAAATGGGTGATTTATGCAAATGCCTCATTAATCCCAGGTGGAAAGGTGTGTGTACCTTTGCTTGTGCTGCAAGGCCCTGTCCTGGAATCTTCTGCCAGGTAACCTGTATCCTCTAGTCCTCAGGCCCATCTACCTGGCAGCTCTACCTGTGGGCAGTGTGCCGCTTGTTACTACTTTAACCGCTAGCATGGCAGTCCTCCCTGCTGTCCCAGATCACTGGACCCTAGTCAAGCTATTAGATGCTTTCTAGACCACAGGCCTTCTCTCTCAGCTCCTTCTCTAAGTCTGGGAAAATTGAGCTGCTTTGACCACACACAGAACAGGGAACTTTAGGAAGCAGCCTTTAAGCTCATCTTCAAAGACACCCCTAAAGTCACAGCCCCTCCACTGCTCTGCTGCCACCTGCCACTCAAGGGCTTCTCCCTGCAATTCGATGCCTCCTTGTGCTACCCCTGCCCTCCTGGGAGGAGACCCTCCATCTTCTACTCTCATCAGAGGGTGGTGTCTAGGTATGTCTCTGCTGCCATCCCTATCCAAGAGTAGGCAGAGGGGAAGGAAGTTCTGTCTGATCATAAGTCCTTTCATCATTCCTGCCTTACACATGGAGTCTTTCTTTTGGAAGCTCTGTTCCTATATCTTTATTGGTGATAATTTCTAAAGCATTAAGTGTTTCAGCCAGTATGAAGTACTTAGCTGATTATATATTCAGCTGATGCTAGAACAATAAGGCATGTAGTTGAGAGCGACTAATACCTTTCCCATTACTGTAGCAAAAATAAATACTGAGTGGGGCTGGAGAGATGGCTCAGGGGTTAAAAGCCCTGGCTGCTTTTGCAGAAGTCTTGGGTTTGGTTCCCAGCACCCATATGATGACTAACAGCCAGCGGTAACTCCAGTTCCATGGATCTGACCCCTCTTCTGACCTCTGTGGGCATTGCAGGCATGTGGTGCACACACACACACGCACACACACACACACACACACACACACAACTATTCAAACACATAAATAAAATCTTTCTTAAAAAACAAATAAATGCTGGGTGATATAAAGTCACCCACTAGCAGATATAAACAGTGTTATCATGCAGATACAGTGTTAATATTTAGGTGTATTACCATCTTGTCTTTTTTCCTATGCAAAATCTTATTTTTAATATAATTTAGATCAATTGAATGCACCAATTCTTATTCCCCTTTCATTTAGAATTACATTTGAATACTGCCCCATATTATTAAGTAGACTTAATGATTGTCTATTACTCTATTGAATGCCATATCATAATTTACTCAACCATTCCCCTCTGTTGGGTATTTAGCTGGTTCTCAATTACTCATGCTCATATAAAAAGCTGTAATAAACACAGTATGATGGCACATACCTATATTCCCAGCACTGGAGAGGCTGATACAGGAGAATTACAAGTTGGAGACCATCTTGGGTTACATACCTGTTACCTTGTCTCAAAAAAAAAATTCTTTTTAAATGCTGCCTGGGCCCAAAGAGATGGCTCAGTGGTTCAGAGTACTGGCTGCTCCTGCAGAGGACCTGGGTTTGGCTCTCAGCACCTACGTGGTGACTAACAACCATCTACAACTCCAGTTCCAGGAGACCCAATGCCTTCTTCTGGCCTCTCCAAGCATTGCATGCACAAGTGCATTTACATACATGTAGGCAAAACATATATATGCATAAAATTAAATAAATTTTTAAAATGCTGCAGTGAATCTTTGGCTTTCAAGACAGAGTCTTAGGAGTATATAAGACATTTTAAATCGAATTTTTGCAATTTTCATTCAATATATTTGATGGTATTTAGATCCCTTCCCCTATCCACACCCCCTCTTACTGCCCCCACCCAATTTAATGGACTCTATTATATATAATAAGACCTACAGAGTCTAATTTGTGTCTCCAAATGTCCTTCAGTGTAGGTCCATCCACTGGAGCCTGCTAACCTACCAAGAGTCCCATCTGTTACAGTCATCTGTTGCTACAATTTCCTTAGGTGGGGGGAGCGTCTTGCCCACTTCCTTATGTCTACACTGGTATCTTTTTTCTGGTTTGAGCTTGCATGGGACTTGTGCGTGCTGTTACCATTGCTGTGAATTCATATGAGTAACTGACCAACTGTCTGGAAAACTGTTTCCTTGTAGCCATCCACCACCTCTGGCTCTTAAAATCTTTCCAATCTCTCTTCCACAATGCTTGCTGAGCCTTTGTAGGCAGCAGTCTGATATAGGTGTCCTTAAATAGGACATTTATAAGGCTCTTACCGTCTGTTGTAAACCGGCTTACCAGAAGGGCTAGGCCAGCTTCTAGCCTGGCATTTCTGTGCGGTGTCACTGCAGCTTTGCTCTTCCCTCCTTTCCCACCATTGTTTCCATAGTGACTTTTGTGGGATCTCAGATGTATGAAAATCACTAGAAAACATATTAGACACTTTATCAATATCCTTGGCTTTATCTCAATTACTCCGTATGTGCAATAGTTACATATTAAAATAACTTTGGAGGGGCCGGAGAGATGGCTCAGTGGTTAAGAGCGCTAACTGCTCTTGCACAGGACACGGTTCGATTTCCAGCACCCACATAGCGGCTACTAACCGTCCTCAAGTCCGGTTCCAGGGGAATCCAAAGCCCTCTTCTGACCTCTGTGCCATTGCACGACACAGGTGCACTCACATACGTGCAGGCAATATAGTCATACATGTAAAATAAAAATAATAAATATTTTAAAAAATAGCTTTGGCATGAAACTGACATTCATGGTCTCTAACGGGCTTTTTCATCTTTCTTAGAAAGAAATTTCCATTTACTGATAGCGAAGAAGAAAACACCCGATTGTTTAGTATGTAGTCCAAAATGACATAGGACTGGTGCTGAAGAGAGGTGCCTAGTATTTTACTGTGCCTAAAGATAGTAGTTTCAAACTTTAAAAGAATTTCCCATGCTGAACACATACACTCATGAGTTTCACCCATCTGGCTTCAGCTTCTTTGAATACTGTTAATACTTCATTATTTTAACTTCTCATCTGTGCGGTTTTCTTCAGGACGCTTCTATCATTGTAATGCAACAATATTCTGTATTCACACTACATATGATACAGTGTGTGAGAAAGGGGCTGGAGAGATGGTTCAGTGGTTAAGACCACTGGCTGTTCTTACAGAGGACTTAGATTTGGTTCCCAACACACTCATGTGGCAGCTAACAACCAACCGTAACTCCAGTTCCAGGGGATCCAAGCACCCTCCTCTGATCTCCATGGCCGTTGCCCAACATGGGTGCACGTACATACACTTAGGTAAAAGACCCATAGACATAAAGTAAAAGAAAAATGATTTGTCTTTTTGGTTGAGAAAGCAAGCCCCCAGGTCCCAGGAGCAGAAGCAGATCAGCAGCAGCAGGGTGCTAGTCAGGGCTACTGATGGCAGAGACCCCAGATGGCAGAAAATGGCCTCAGGGCCTCTGAATCTGTTCAGGGGCTCTTCATCAGGGTAGTGCCTCATTGCTAGGGTAGCTGATGTGTTTGAATTATTCCTGCACAAAGTTTTTAAGCCAGGCCCAGTGACACAAGCCTGTAATCCTACCTACTGAGGCTGAGGCAAGAGAATCACAGATTCAAGTCAGCCTGGGCTAGAGTGAGTTCAGTGCCAACCTAGTCAACTTAGTGTAACTCTCAGGAAGAAAAGGGAGTAGAGCTAGGCATATAGTTCAGTGATAGAGCATGTCCAAGACCTGGGTTCAATCCTTAGTTCAGGGAGAAAGAGAGAGAGAGAGAGAGAGAGAGAGAGAGAGAGAGAGAGAGAGAGAGGAAGAATTCAGTATTTATAGTTGCCCAGTGAGACTCAGAACGAGAAGGCTAACATAAATTTGGAGACTGAGTTTTCAGAGATTGGCTCCCTCTGTGACCCTGACAGGGGGCTCAGTCTAGAAGGATAGAGCTAGACTAGGGTAAATACCAAGTGAGGTGGTATGAAAGGTGACAGCTAGAAACCCAGCCTCTCACAAACCAGAGCACAAATGTATGCATACAAGCAGCAGCAGAAGGCCAGCTGCCACAGGGTTAGTTTAATCACTGGGTCAGCTGGCTCTGCCTTTTCTGGTTCTTAAAGGTCCAAGGCCCTGTGAAGCTGGATATTTAATTTCTGGTAAGCCTGCTGCATCTTCATTCATATGTTCCAAAAATAACGGCTTCTGAGCACCTACTATCTGTGAAGTTAGGTGCCTGGACACAGAGATGAGAAGACACCATCTGTCCTGAAGGAGTTCAACTCATTGGGTTCAGCAACATTTGATCAGCTAGGATCTGTAAGTTCTTGTACAGCATTGCCATACTCTTTTATTTTTATTTAAATGACACAGTTATTGCTGCATGTAATTCATCACATACATTAAGCATAAAATTTCCTGTGGGGAATAATAAATGTGATTTTTAATAAGTCTATTTCTTATTACCTTTTTTTTAAAAAAAAATCTTAACTAGTTTATTGGGCTTGCTAACAAAGCATAGGGTGGGGTTTATTTACAGAAGAGTGGGCCCCCTCATTTACAGCTGTGAGGGAAAGTCCACACTCGAATATAGATCCTGTGACTTCCGGACAGCCGCACAAAATGGCCAGAGAGGTGCCTCACCATACTCTTACTGTATGAATGATCACCATGTCTTGGGGCATCAGACTGGGATTTACTTCTCCAACATAAAATATCAATCAACAGAATGTCAGTTAGCCTTGTCCGAGGACCCATCAGATTTCTTGGAAAGGTAACTTAGCACCAGTTGTCCCCAAAGACAGCACCCAGTTATCTGGAAGTGCCCTTTATATTCAGTACTTCTGTACTGTAGTTGGAGGACATGTGCCTGACCTCAGGCAAAAATATTAAAACACAGTGACCTTGCCCTCATAACCACAGCCTGGTTTCGCATTTCTAAACGCCAAAAGAAAGCTGTATTTGCAGACATATAGGAGAAGAGTGGACTCAGACAAAGTGGGGCAAGGGAGGGGTGCAGGTGCCAAGTTTCAGGAGGCACTGCCTTTGGGGTTGCTTCTTTAAGTTCTGTGTTCTTGGCTCTTCCTCTTGTACTGTAGTCCTGGCCTTAGAAGAGGCAGGATAGAAGCCCAGAACAGCAACAACAAAATGCTTCATGCCTCAAAAGGTCTTTCTCCTTTTTCAAGGGTCATTTTCATTGCTGCTGCTGTTCCTGCTGTTTGAGCTGGTGAGATATGCCCAGGAACACCCCAATCCATGCTGCTGGCTTTACCTGATCCCCAAAGAAATAATGGGAAATCTTTTGTTTGACAGAAGACTTTCCATTACCTGCTGCTCAGTATGGTTCACCCATCACATGTTCTATCTCACAAAACAGAAAATCAGTTTAGAGTCAAAGAAATAAGCAGTGGGCTTGCAGGGGATGCAATCTCACCTCCAAAGGAAGCCAGCATTTGTACACTCCTGTCTGTAAAAAGCAATAGAGCGGCACAGTTCTGATCCTCTCCTTTACAAAGGAGGAAGCAGAGGCTCAGGCAGATTCTAGAACTTGACCAGGCCAACACATCAAGTAGGCAGAGAGCCTAGATGAGTCCAGACACTTTGCTTCTCTATTGATTCCAAACCACAAGGATATGGGGTCAAAAGAAAGGTGGGGATTTGGCTTCTGGACACCACTGATCAGTCAGCAAAATGATTTTTCTAAGCAATAAAAAATAGACTTTTGGAAAAAAAGCTAAAGGAATATAAAAGTAGAATGAGTTCAGTTAATAGTGGCAAAAATTTTTTATGATGAGTTTGCCCATATAATTTCAGTGAGTAGAAAATACTTAGAAATCAGTTTTTCTGGAAAAAAATCTGTTGACTTTAGTGATGACTTGGATGGTATTGAAGTCATCACAACTGTAAACTTAGAAAACAGACAAAAGGTAAATGATTACACTATTTCTAGTTAGGTATTTTTCAGGGAAATGCTGGCCAGTGCAGAGAATCACAGCCACCTTTCCTGCTGGCTTCTGCCATCACTGTTTTGGGATCTTTAAGGTGGGTTCCACTCTTCAAACAGATTGGAAGTGAGAAGTGACACAATCTTCTAATGATCCCTACTATGTGCTTGCTGGGGTTTGGACATGAAGATTTTCAGATGCGCCATGGCTTTACCCTTGGTTATCCTGAGGCCACTGGCACCAAGTAACTAGAGGCACCTTACTAAATTTGGGCATGTAATAATCCACTGTGTGAATTATTGGGGTTGCAGTGGGTCCTTTCACAGTGTTAATAGTTAAGATTCTACACATCTATTTACTGACATGTATAGAATATTCTCTGGACACAAACTCGCTAACTTCAAAACTATTCCTTGAACTTTTGTGTGCTAAGGAAACAGACCTAAACAGTGTAATCCCTTGCTTCTAGTTGTTCCTGCTGTTTGTGACTGCAGAGCTCTCTGCACTCAGGAAGAATAGGCTGTGGTTCCTGCCTTCAGCCGGAAACCCAGAGGAATGCAGTCCCCTCTGTCATATTCAATCTCCTATCACTAGAACTTGCTTCCCACCCATCACATAATGAGCCCCATACATGATTACCAACTGAGGGGCTGTAGAACAGCCTCTCACAAAGTGCAGGAACTCCCTCTGGTACGTGGTTGCTGCTTGAGGAAGTTCAGATGCAGAACCTCTCTTCCACTCTGGCAACGTGCTCTGTTGTTAAATCATTCTGGGAGCATCCTATTTTAAACCCTCACCAGGCAGCCCAGAGTTTTGTGGTTTTGGGGTTGTTTTTCCCCCTCAGCAGCTACACAGACTAAATCCCTGGTATCTAAGTTTGGCTCTAGGTCTACAGAGACATTCATGATACATCCTACTCCCCTTTCTGATCTCCATTACCCTTTTCCTTCGGTCACTGCTGAAGTGAATTTGTTTTTATACTTCCTAATCATCTGATTGAATAGGCAAGATTGACACCAGCAGCTAAATGGTGAGATAAGTCGTCTTATGATCAGCCAAATCAGTTATGTAGCAGAGTGGCTGTGGCTCATGTGTATAGAAGCGAACAGTTCAACAATCGCAGGGTGGAAGCTGGTCAACTGTTATGACAGGATGGTAGGGTTTCTCCTGGTTTTCTAGAAGTTCATCTGGACTCTCGGACTCACAGTGAAGTCAAAACACAAGTATTCTCTATGATTGTCTAGGTTTTGAACAGGGAAACACAGACTTTACTGAAAGACTTGTAAGGGGGTGAGCCTCCCGTTGATCATAAACCAAGTGAGGCTCTAGGCTGGTAGCACTTCTTTTTATTGTCTGATCTCTTGAATGCACTTAGGAAGGTGTGAAGTATTTGTTGCATGTGTTCTTTTTCAAGCATTGGACAGAACACTGGAGAAACAATTTTGGAATGGAGGGGGTGCAGATCACAGGACCAGGGCAGCTTTCCGTGTGTGCTGGGATTGTGCAACCAGAGGCTCAATTATTTGATGGATTAAGCAATAGGCTGCTCCTCAGGACCTAGAAGATTCTGGCAGAAACTGGGGCAGTGGGAGGATAGGCAGGAGCAGGGAGGCAAAGGTGGTAAGATGAAGAGGGGTTAGATGTGTGAGAGGCAGGGATTCAGGAGCAGATTAGCATAGTTCTGAGCCTCTGTCTGGATTCAAGGCAGACCCAATCCACTTCTGCCACTATGTCAGCTATGAGACATAGCTGGAGATTAAACTTTACTAAGCCTTAGGTTTCTTCATCAGCTAAATATGGACAATGACTAGTAGAGATATCCTGATGATTTAATGCAATAACATAAGCAAAATGTTCACTGGAAAGCCTGGCACAGAGTTGGCTATCAATAAATTGTAATCATTCATTCTAATACACACTCCAGTGCTGAGAGCACAAAGGTAACGTGGAGAATGCTCAAGATGAAGACGTGACCTTTGTCTTCACATAGCCTGTGTACAGAAGCAATGTAGCCTAATGGCTAAGGGCAAAGGCTCCTTGGCTTGGTTACCCTGGGCAAGTTGCTTAAATTTCTGAGTCTCATTTTACTCATCTGTAAAAGGAATAACTATGGAAATGCATACTTCAAAGGATGATTTAAAGCATTCCACAAGAAGTACACCCAACATTCCTAGCATGTACCATCAATATTACCAGAAACTCGGAAGAAATACGATAGGTGAAAGATACTACATACATATTTTTCTATCAATGTGCTGTCCTAAAAGGGCCTTATGTTGGTAACTTCTGTCAACCAAAGGAACCAGAGGAAGAAAGGGAGACGGTCATATCACAAGAACACAGCTGGTTGGCTGGGCATGGTGGCACACACCTTTAGTCCCAGCACTCGGGAGGCAGAGGCAGGTGGTTCTCTGTGAGTTCAAGGCCAGCCTGGCCTACATATTGAGTTCCAGGACAGCTGGGGCTACAGGGAGACCCTGTCTCAAAAAGACCGAAAAAGAAAAGAAAGAAAGAAAAGAAAAAAGAAAAAGAACACAGTTGGTTTTCCATCCAAGGAAATCAGTAAGGCAGGTCTCCAGGATGAGAGCAGTAAGCAGTCGGTGGGAGTGGCTGCTGGGGACTCAGGAGGCAGAGCACTCAACAAAGAAGAGAAGTAGGTACATTGTGCTGGAACCCTGAAACAAGGCCCAGGGAAGTGGAGGAGAGCGTCTTAGGATCTCCCCTGGGAGGGGCTCCAATAGGCACTTAAAAGACCACATGCTTGGTAGGATGCTCAGCTTCCACTTGGAATGTACATGTGCAATCAGAGCTGACTTCCCAGGGATGTGCCCTGTACATGGGCACTGGGTCCTGCACTTAGAAGTGTCCTACACCTGGTGGAATGCTGTGTTTTAGCTGTCTTCATTCTCATTGGGACATGCAAAGCACATAGCCTGTCCTGTCAATCCCAAGTGGAACAAAGAGGAACTGAATATTGCTGGCATCCATTGAGGAGAGTGGTATGGAAAAAGAGTGAAATGCTGTAGGTATGATGGACTTCCCCACAAGGAAGCCGGGAGCAACCCAGCAAGCAGTGCAAGTATTGGCACTTATTAGTCCCTAAAGTCAGACTGTGGAGATCAGATGAGAGAGAACAGAAAAGGGCATTTTTCCTAGAAAAATCTCACAATCCTTAATTCTGACCTTATTACCATATATTTGCATTTCAAGTACTGTTTCTATCAAGTTTATTCGAATGCCATTATGTCTAGTACTTGTAGTAAATGACAAGCCAGTTCAAATTTTGTTCTTTCCATTTGATTTGCACAAATATTTGACTTCACTTATTCACTAGGCTTTTGGTTTTTCTTGTCCAGTGAATTGTAAGGCTTGCTCTTTCTCTCCTCATCAGACAGTAGCATAGATAGCTAGCTGTTCTCTGTACTCCCTAGGCCTCTGCCTTATTTTTTCCATATGACGAATGAGCCATGATAACTGTATTTTCCATTTTGAATAAATCAGTTTATTAAGCACATAGCAAACAAGAGAAAAAGAAGAAAATAGCAAGCAGCAGAAAGATAGTAGAGCATCAGATCAAACACTTACGCCATCCAGCAGAAGTCAACTGGGGGAGCCCTGGGACCAGAACAGTCAGCTGCAGGTTCCGGACAGACACAAAGGACCCAGGCAGAACGTCTTCTCCTGTGTAAGATTTCCCAGTGAAAGAACAAATAGCAAAGACAGAGATGACATCATCAAGTGGGGTGCTCACAACATCCATCAGAAACCGACTGGGGAAGTTCGGGCAGGCAGCTGGAGTTCCTGGCTGCGCTTCTCTCCGTGAATAAGCTTTCCACAGCTGAACTTCTTATGGCTGAACTTCCAGCTTCCTCTCCCTGTAGGCACCTTTACATCTGGAATAAAGAGTTAGGGGGCCAGACCATTCCCAGACAAGGACGTTTGGAAGACATTTTGAGGCAAACATGCTTGGATCTGAAACGGGGGTGGGCAGCCCTGTTTCCAAAGCCAGTTTCTCAGTGAGCTCAAACAGCATATGACAATTTATCAATATAATGTATATTACACTTGTCCTAGGTGGTATTGCTGCTTTTCTGGTAGTTCCCAGGGCACACAGCAATGTCTGGCATCAGGCAAACGTATCCAGAGGTAGGCAGCCATATCTTGTAGAGGGTAAGTGCCCAGTACAGGCACCATGCCCATGATCAAGCAGTGGTGTTCACGGCAGGCAACAGTGCCCACGAGAAGGCAACAATACCCAGAGGGGACAAAGTACCTTAAAGAAGATACTGGTGCCCAGGAACAAACAGTGTCAGCCAAAAGTGTCCAGAATCAGGGAGTAGTGCCCAAGGGAAGGCTTTGGTCCCCTGTGGGAGGAAGTAGTCCCTACAGTCAGGCAGCTGCCCTCAAGGGCAGGCAGTGGTGCCCAGGTGATTATAGAGGTGTCCTGGGGTAAGCAGAAGTACCCGTGGGGAAGGCAACAGTCTCCAAGCTCAGGCAGCCATGCCTTGAAGATGGCACAGTGCTGAAGCGCAGACAGCTAGCTACGGGAATAGGCAGTGATGCCCAGTAACAGATGCTGGTGCTTGGGAACGGACAGAAATGCCCTGAAAAAGAGCATGTTATTCACATGGTGCCTGTGTTACTCGATCACTCTTAAAAAACAATGTCTACCTTTAATAATAGCTAATTTACAGCATGTTCTGGAAAATGAGTGGATAATATGACATTTAACTAAAGAAGTTTGGGAACATCACATTCCAGAAGGGACAGGAAATAGTGAGGACAGTTCAAACCCATGTAATGAGGGGGTGGCAGCATTATCTCTTTGTAGAAAATCCAAAGCTAACAGTTCAAGAATGATTTACTTCATGATGCAATGAACTGCAAGTGCACTGTCAGCTCATTATTGATGTGTCCTCTGTCCACGAGTTCAAACATAAGTCCAGGGAAAATCCATTGATGAGAGATCTAAGCAGGGAATGAGGGGCACAGGTGACCTGGAGTGGAGGAGATGAGATGGGCTCCTTGGTGTAGATCAGAGACCTCTTCCTTTACTGTGAGTGGTTGTTTTCTCAATCAAATATGAAGTGCCTTGCCATGTGTCACTTCATCATTCCCTTTCCACCCCCTGTGCCTTGCCCCCAGCGAAGACTCAACCGCCAGCATCTCCAAGCCTCTGCTCTCCTCTGCCACTGTTGGGCAAAGTTCCAAGTCTCCCTCTGTGGTGAGAACAGCCACAAACCACAGCGAGGAGAGCACCCCTTCCCTGACACACACTTTCCCCTTACAGTCCAGACTGTCTTGGGTGCAGAAAGACAGTACCAGGAAGCCTGCTACCTGGAAATGGGCCGTAGTCCATTAGGGTTGTTAGGCCTGGGCTGTTTTTGTTTTTGTTTTTAATTTGTTTTTATTTTATTTTATTTTTTATTTATTTACTTATTTGTCTTTTTGAGACAGGGTCTCCCTGTAGCCCCAGCTGTCCTGGAACTCACTATGTAGACCAGGCTGGCCTTGAACTCACAGAGATCTGCCTGCCTCTGCCTCCCAAGTGCTGGGACTACAGGCGTGCGCCACCACTCCCGGCTCCGGTTTTTTATTATTTTTAATTACATGTCTGTGTGTGCCTGTGTGTGGGTTTGTGCCTATGAGTGCAGGTTCCCATGGAGGCCAGAGGTGTTGGATCTCCCTGGAGTTGGAGTTATAGGAGTAAGCTGCTCAATAAGGGTGCTGGGAATGGAACTCAGGTCCTCAGCAAGAGCAGTATGTGATCTTAACCACTGAGCTCTCTCTCTAGGCCCAGACCCAGACCCACTAAAAGGCATTTTGTTGGCCACTTAAATAAGTATGTTTTGAAGCTCACGCCATTCTTAAACTTCCTGTTGTGATAAATTAACATAGCAGGAAAAGATCCATCTTTCAGAGTTCATGCGCCATGTTTGCAGCAGCCCAGCTGGCACAGGACCTGCTTTTGGTGTTGTGAATCCTAATAGCCATCTGGGATCTAAGTCTATGCTATATACAGGGAGATGATGATAACATCGTCAAAGAAGAATGTGTGTGAAGGAGGAGGGAGGGAAGGCGAGAGAAAGCAATAGAGGCCAGACTCCAGGAGCAGAGGGAAATGATTTATCCCTGGACTCAGTGTTCTGGTGGGAGCAGTCTTCCCTGGAGCCAGAGCCATCTGAAAAGCACTAGATCACATGGCCTCATTGCCTGAGAAGCCTGAGAAGCCCCACCCCACTCCCTGAGCTGTGTGCTGGGAAGGTGTCTGAGCCCAGAGACCAGTTAGTTGTGGGGGACAGGGTGGAATACAAAACTGCCCTCCACTCTGCTCTGGCCAGTCTCTGCACATCCCTGGCTCCCCAGGGCCTCCTGGGTCTCATTCACCTAGCAACTGCCTAGTAAGTGTTCAGTGAGTTGCTCCCAGTTGTTCTATATGTCAATCTATCTAAACTTTAGAAACTTCTATGCAATAGAGCTCATACTCTCACCCTGATGTAATATGGGACACCCTCTCTTTACACCTGAGACCATGAGCTTTTCATCTGCGTTCCAAAAGTACACAAAGGCCCTACCCGAGTCACAAGGAAGGACAGGCACACATAGACCTGGGTACACTCTGAAGGGAGAATTGCAATGACCCTGGAATGGACTCAAAGCTGGACACTGTAACTGCCATCGATGACTATATTTGGCAGTGTAGACAGCTCCCCCAACACACACACACACACACACACACACACACACACACTCATGGAAGACAGCACCCTCTCATGGGGTTGGTCCTCGTGGACTTGGAGCTGCTTCATGCTCCCTGAGTCCCCATTTGTTTTCATGCTCTGTAAGCACCACATGGCTTTTCTGCTGCTGTTCTGATGTCCCACAGTGTGGGCTTCGGCTTGCCTCCTGCCTCCTGTGAACACCTGTGGTTAATTGCCTTTCAAAGATGGCTGCAGTAGTATTTTGGTTTTACACACTCTTGCAAGATCTTGAGGAGTTCTGTTTGGGTTTTGTTTGTTTTGTTTTATTCAAAAGACTGAGTTGAAGTTCTCTCCCGTGGGTTGTGACACTTGTGGGTGCCTCTGTGAACAGAAATGCAACACAGAAGGAGCTGTACAACTTTGAGGCTAAGACAGGGAAAGAATTAAGGCTTCTGCCTTCTTCCCACTTCCTTTCGGGACATGTGTTTGAAAGCCCTGAGCTGGTGTGTAAGATGTCCAGCTGCACTGAAGCCGCCAGGCTGCAAAGAGCCCACGGAGACTGATTCCGAGGAGCCCCACCTGTGCCAGGCCTGCATTTTCCTAAGATCAGTTGCCAGTCAGAAGGTCTTTAAATGACTACAGTCCCCAGCTGCTGAGCTGTCACCGCTGACACCAAGTATAGCAAAAGGGCTGTCTCCATCAAGCCCAGCCTGCATTATGGGTTTGAGAAAAAAATTAGTATTGCTGTTTTAAGCTATTAAGTGTGCTAAGCAATTTGTTGCATGGCAACTGTAGTGGGGCATCACCCTTATGGTCTCATCAGGCTGTTCCCTTTCTTCCCAGAGATCCTAGCTTCTCTTCTACAGAGTTGCTGAGCGGAATTAGAGGAATTCTGTTTCTAGTAGTGTCAAAATTCTTTTGTCAAACCACAAAATACAGGACTATTTAACTCATAATTTGAAGCCTTATAGCTTCTTATTGTGCCCCTTTATTCACTTACCTAGTTAACCCTGCCCACAAATACACAAGCTCTCCTATGACTGTCAGCAGATGTCAAGTGAAAATTTGATGTACTCTTGTCAAATCATGCTTCCCCCATTGATGCTGCTCACCTAAGTTGATTCTCTGAACTGAAACACTGAACAGCAGCCCAAAGTTTACCTGACTGCCTTTGAGCTCTTTGCTGGCAAGCATGTAAGAGTTGTGGGAACTCTATGGCTTACATGCACTCTAGGCATCGGACACTTCAGCTCTCTTCCTGAGCTACTCACCACCAAAAAGAATATTGACAGATCAGACATCACCCTTCTGTGCTGACAACCTGTCTTCCTTCCGTGTTGGCACTGATCCATTCATTCATCACACCATGATTAGCAAGGCATGAATCTAACCAAATGCCTCCATTGTGTCTCCAGGAGCACCCCAAGATGAATCTTCAAACACTTCTCAGGAAACCTTGCCTGTTACATGCATTTCTTCTTATCCCAGTTAATGGCCTATCTCCCACGAGAAGGCCAAAGCTGTTACTAGTTACCCGCCTTCTTCCTCACTACCAACTCCAGGTCTGTGCGATGGTCTCCAGGACTGTCGTTAGTTCTCGGGAGCTGTCTTTGCTTTTAATTTAATGTTAATATTTCTACTCTGGGCAGAATCAAGCTCCAAATAAAAATCCATATGGAATCTGCCTCCTTTACATTAGCTTTAAGGGAGACCGATGGGGAAGGCAGATTCAGTCAGGGTGCATTATTTATTTCAGTTTGCATTTAAATGATTTGTTTTACATAATAGCTTGATTTTTAGTGGCAATCACCAGAAAATGACTTTAAAAAATTCTGTAGCTCAGGGCTGATTTTACAGAGCTCACACCATTATTTTATCGCCATCTGGAGACAAACATTGTGTATTGCAATGGAAGAATAGGAAGAAAAAAAACCCCATAAACCGAAACCTCCAAGCCTCAGTTAAGCAACACAGACATGTAAACTTGCTTCTTTTGCTTGTCTGCCCCAAGAAAGGGGTTCCTGTTGTAGATGTCTAATCATTCAGTGTTCTGGGAGATGGGTATTACCAACATCACCATTTTACAGATGGAGAAACAAGGCGCAGTTTGTGACAGAACTTGAACATACTGAATTTGGTTCTAGGACATATACACTTTTACCACTATGGCAGATAAACCCTCCCATTTCACTTTCATATTCTGTCAAATGAATAATGTCAGAACTATCCAGGGAAGCATGAACACCAGTAAAGGGAAATGGGAACCCAAAGATTATAAGAAAACACTAATACTTGGAAAAAAAAAATATCTGCTGATGAGATTAGGCGCAATCACGGTGTTATGGGCATAGATAAATCCTGCCTTCCGGACTGGATACAATCCCCAAACACTTAGGAGAATATGAGGGTCACCAAGCATGTCTTTGACTTAGAGGTTGTAGAGCAGAGCCTGAACTTTCTCCCAGTCATCAGTTTTCAGCACCTGGGAAAGTTCTATCCCTAAGGCCCAACAGGGGTTCCCTGTGAATAAGCAGTTTCCTAAGACAGGGCTGAGTGACTGGATTTCAGTGAGGCTTCTCAGCATATCCTGTGCACATGACAGAAATATGGTTGGATGGAAACTGCTTATTTTCACGAGAATTCTAATGATTTCCAATCTGAGGAATTTCACTGACAAAATTCATGAGTTGCCTTCAATTACTTGGCAGTGATTTATTCACAGTTTGGATGAAAATCTGTCTCAGCAAATACAGTATTATTTTTAAGTGTATGAGTGTTTTGCCTGCATGTACTCAACCACGCTCCTGTTGTGCAATGCCCATAGAGACCAGAAGAGGGCATCGGATTCCCTGAAACTAGAGTTATGGACGGTTGTTAGCTACCATTTGGGTGCTGGGAACTGAACCTGGGTCCTCTCCAAGAGTAGCCAGTGCTCTTAATCACAGTACTTAGATTACAGTGGAGAGGTAGAGACAAAAATACCTGATGATTCAGTTGGAGGGTCCTAACAGGGTGCCAGCTGGAACAAGAGGCAACCGGGTGGCAGTCTGTCATGTTGATGGCTTGGGCAGCCTGGATATAGTACCATTACCAACAGAAACATAACATGAACTGCATATGGGATTTAACAATTTTTAGTGGTCACATTTTAAAATGTCCTAAATGGATTTTAGGTGAATTTTAATAATGTATTTTCTTTTTAATACTATACTTTATCTTTCCAGATTAAAATATTATTTTAATGTAAAAATAGAAAAATTGTTATATTCTGCATTCATAATTTATTGTTTAAAACTCAGTGCAAAGGAGCTGGAATGAAGCTCGGTTGGTAGAGTGCTGTGCAGCGTGCACAGAGCCCAGTTCCTCAGAAACCAGGCACGGTGGTACATGCCTGGGACCTGGACACTTGGGAGGTGGAGACAGAAGGCTCTGCTCAAGGCCAGCCCTGGCTACATAGTGAGTTTGAGGCCAGCTAGGTTACATGGGAACCCCACGCCCCACCCCCGACACCCGTGGTGCGTGTGGAGGTCCAAGAGCAGCTTTCAGGAGTCAGCTTTCTCCTTCCACCTTGCTGAGGCAGGGCCTTTCTTGTCACTGCCAAGCTCTGTACTCCAGGCTCGCTGGCCTGCGAGCTTCCCCAGTCTCCTGTGCCCCACATCTTTGCAGTAGGAATGCTGGGATCACAGACATCGGTCACCGCGTCTGGTTTTTGTAGGTTCTGATTGAAGTTGGGTCCACAGACTCGCACAGCAAGAACTTTTACCCACTGCATGATCTCGCTGTCCCCTAGGTTTTAACTCTGTATCCTGTTTTCTGAAAACAGTGATTTCTGAGTACTAACACCAATCCACGTGGGGAATCTAACTCCTAGCCAATGGTTGAGGAGCAGGAAGAATGAAGTGTTTGAATAGCCAAACTACATACTTAAAAACATAAAATCTCAAGTTAGACACCTCCTTTCATTTTGAGAAAACAGCCTCTGAGAGGTTAAGTGGCTTCCTAATGGGTGTCAGAGGTTAAACTCGGTTCCGGGCCGGGAACCTCTCTGCCTTATAGAGGGCCCCTGAATGGAATTTTCCCTTGCTGATCTGGACACTGACAGTTCTCCCATCACCTTTACCTAGCATCCATTTTTATAAGTGTTCCTGCACTTACGAACTGTGCTTAAATACTTCTGTAAGGCAAGTTGCCTAGGCTCAAATTCTGGCTCTTACAAGTTGATCATATCTTTATAAAGTACTTGGGACAGAACCTAGCTCATTGTAGGTCCTTAATATTTGGACTCAGTGAATAAGAGAACAAGTTTTCAATCTTGCAGTCTGCACCATGAAAGCTACTGGCTTGAGAATTTACATGTTGAGTAGCATACACTCTTGGCCTAGAAATTCCCTTGTAATACACTGTATAGACGATACCTTCAGTCTATGGTGAGCTTACTAGTGGCAATCACCAATAGTGGTGATCAGCCTTTGGAGAGCACTGACTTGAGCATATTCTCTTTGGAGCCTGGTATGATCCTTCCATCATTCCCACAATGGCATGTCTCTACAGTTTAGAGACAGACACTGGTCTGTGAATAAGGCATAAAGTCCGTGAAATTTTGAAACTAATCTTTCCAATGCCTCAGATAAAGCACTTAAAGTAACTGAAGCCTCCAATCTGATGATGAAAGGATATATAGTTTTATAATTTTGTGAATGTATTGCCCGCACATAATTGCATCACGTGTGCAGTGCCTGAAAAGGCCAGAAGAGGCCGACAGAACTTGCATTACAACCTTGTGGGTGCTGGAAATTGAATCTAGGTCCTCTGTAAGAGCAGCAAGTGCTCTTAACTGCTGAGCCATCTCACCAGCCCCAGGATATATATGTATTTTTAACTTTTTATAGTCTAGGCAATGAATAAAAAAGGAATGACAGAGACCCTAGTAACATTTTCTTCATGGGAGAACATAACTCTTATGGGATCTCTCTAGCCAGGATGAGCAGCTCCACCTGAGTCAACTGAGTGCTAGAAACTGTGATAGACAGTGCAAATAATGATGAAGTTTCTTGGGCTCTGAGAAGGCTCGGGATGTTTATAATCATTTCTTAAAAATGTTCAACTAGCCGGGTGTGGTGGCACATGCCTTTAATCTCAGCACTGGGAGGCAGAGGCAAGGAATCTCTGAAATTGAGGCCAGCCTGTTCTATAGGGCAAGTTCCAGGCCAGCTGGGGCTACAAGGAGCCTGTGTCTTTAAAAAAAAAAAAAAAAAAAAAAACTGCAGACAATTCCATATGCAACAAAAATGTATGAAGTCTATTAAACTAACATGTATTTAGGGGGAAATGAAGGAACTCCAAAACTCCAAATCAAGTGTATTCAGGTCACATACTGCCTGAATCCAGTGCCACTGGAAGACACAAATATGGCCTGCAATTCTATTTTTAACATTTGTCTTCTAGAGCCAGTGGTAATTCTAGTTCCTAAACTAATGAGTTTCTATTTATGAGTCAACTGAGATAATACATACAAAAGGACTTTAAACAGTAAAATATCCACATCAGATTTTACTGTTCCCAAAGAAAATGAGGAAATGTTTTCTCAAAGATAATTCAATCTCTGTGCAACCTTTACTTCATGTGGCTCAGTCTATAATCTATTCGCTTCTTCAAGATCTTCACTGTTAGACACCACTTTAATTTAGTGGGGCCCGCACTGTCATCATTCCTTACACACCGTGTGTTCATCTTGCTTGATGGGAGAACAGTCCATCAACTCACAGAAAAGAAGAAACAGGAGTCGAGAAGAAAATAACAAAATGTATTTAAAACTTCTCCAGTTGGCATTTTGATGAAACAGCTAACAGTTATCTCACCCTTTATCCGGCTTCTTCTGTTCCTGGAGTCCTCCAGAGACTTTACTCCTTGAAACTCGGGCGTCAGCACCAGACATTGTATCCCCAAAGGGAGAGGTATTAGTTAACCTTTTGCTGGTCATTCTTGTCTGAATGTAAATAGGCAAATTCTTAAGCCCTCTTATTCATGTCATGATGATCATCAAGAAAAAAATTAAGCTAAACTTGCATATTGAAAATAACGAAAACACACAAAAATCCTGCAAATAATAAATATCGCCGATTCACTTATTTCAGCCAAGTCCAATTTTATTCACGCCTAATACCCTTGCAGTCCATTGTATATCTTCTGCACTGAGCCTTGTTTGAGTAGCTGCTTGATGCCTGAAGAAAAGCAAAGCAAACAACCACATGAACAAAAATGAGACTTCCCTGGGGCTTAAAGAGCACTTTCCATGCAGAGGCTCACAAGTCTGCAGGACAGCCTCTGATCTGAACGAAGCCAACAGTAGCTAATTTCCAACTTCCCACGTGGACGTCGCTACACATGTGCACATGCACGTCCGAGATGATCCCTGGTCTCTTTTTCTCAGCCCCCTACACGAACACGCCCCACAAAGCCCCAGAAGTGAGAGCAGGTAAACCAGAGGGAACAGAATCTCTTCAGCTAATCTGTCACTCCTTCTTTCTTGTCCCTTTTTTCAGTTCTTACCTTTCACCACTTTTTTTCCTATGATTTAAAATATTGGACCAGGAGCTGCTTCCAATCAGTCAGAGATATTCTCGGCCTCCATCTCCCACTGTACATCTCACCTTCCCTTTTAGCTTGGCCTGCTTACGTGACTCTGCTTCACTTCCTTACAATGTTACTCCCTAGGTTTCAAAGCCCAGCTCACACAGCCTTCAGTGAACAGTGTCAGAGAGCATTATTGCTTTCACAGAGAGGTCATTCCTATCTCTATGCTTCCCTGGTTAATGTCTCATGCCACTGAAGGGTGTTGCTTTTATTGCCAATGTTTTCATATAGTCAACACACTCACACATGCATACACTACACACACACACACACACACACACACACACACACACACACCATACCTTCTTTTGCTTCCTCTGCCAACTGTTCTTTTGGAAAATCCACATCAAAAGTGATTATCAATGAGCCCTTGATGTTGTTGTTGTCAAAGTTGGGAAGCCCTTCCCCTTTCTTCCATAGCTTGGCTCCTGGCCTGGTAATCTTATCCCGGGAAATATGTACCTATGACGCAAAAAGGAATGGACCAGAGCAGGCCCAGCACACCCTGGTTACATCACATAGCTTCTAGTGAGCACTAGTGCACAAAGCTAATGTCATGGCTCAGCACAGAAGAGGGGATGAAGAGCAAAGGGAACCTCAGGATGATAGTCACAGAAAGCCTTTTACAAATAAAAAGAAAAATCAAACACATAGCAAATAAAATAAGACAAGTTTTGCCAGTGGAAACTATCAGAACAAGATTGTCAAAAGTCGTGCAGTCAACTCAGCATTGTTGCTACTGGATGTTCGGCAACAGAGAGAAGAGAGAAGGCAGGGGAGTAAAAAAGGCCTTTCTGTGGCACCAGATGAGTGAAGTGGATGAAACGATCTAAAACCACACGAAGACTTTAAACAGCAGGAAAGGTGGTTTATTTACCTTGTGACCATCCAAGTGTGTGATATCCATTTCAAAGCCAACCAGAGCCTCAACTAGTGAGATTGTCACATTAGTGTACAAATCATCCCCTCTCCTTTCGAATGTTCGGTGCCTGAAACCAAAGAAGGAAAAAAATCACTAGAGTTTAAAATGTTACAAACACCCTGGAAAAAGATGAACAGTCTTTCAAATAATAAGTATTTGACATGCTTTTGTGGATAGCATTAACCAAAATTATAAAGTGATGTAATCTTATTAAACTCTGTTAAAGAGCTGACAGTCTGCAGAAGTCAATGGTTGTGAGGCAAACAACCAGTCACTAGGTTATAGAAAAGAAAGACAATGCTCAGCAGGGGTTTTCTGAGCTCTCCAAGTCTAGTAGATAAGGTGCCTACAAGGGAATGGGGATGCATAGGTGAGAGGCAAAGGTGAGCTCTTGAGAAGGGACTAGGGCCGGGCAGTGGCTCACATCTGTAACCTTGTCACTTGGGAGGCAGAGGCAGACTACCACAAGCATAAGGCCAGCCTGGGATATACAGTGAGATCCTATCTCACCCCCAATCCCTACCCCACCACAGGTTGTTCTAGTTTCACATGGAAGTGGTGAGAAAGACAAGGTAGATAAGAAAAGCCAGGGAAAGGCACATGAACATGAACAGAACAGAAAGGGAGAACTCCTAGGTAGAGGGGGACCGTTTCTGTGTGATGCTGGGGAAAAACGGCTTCAGTGAACCCTTAAATGCAAAAATATCACTGGGTTTCCAACTAGTCAACGAGAGAAAAATAAATAAAGCCTGGGTCTGGGTCAAAATTTCAGTCTTAAGCAGCAGCCCTATGGATGCTGAGAAACTGCATAGTGTTGTGACTGAAAGACCTTTCTATGGAAAAACTCTATCTTCCTGCCTCAACTTCCTGAGCCCTGAGATTACAGGCATGTGCCACCAAGCCTGGATTATGTAGTAAGGAGGACCAATCCCAGGGCTTTGTACATGCCAGGCAAACACTCTACCAACTGAAGCACAAGCTCAGCCCTCCTTTCAATTCTCACTGACTTTCTCCTGATAGCTTTTGAATTTATAAACCCTAAGTAATAAATAACTAAGCTTAAGGCTAATCCCAAATTTTCAGTATTGTCACAGAGTTACAAATAATTACTTATATTGTAGGCATGAAACAAGGGAAAAGGTCTAGATGCATTATCCCCATAATTACACAAGCAAAAGAGATGGCTTCTGAAACTGATGACTTACTTGACAACTTTAATTCGGAACCGTAAATCCCCGGGCTCCCCATCCACATGGGGTTCACCTGGTAAGAACAGATCAAAGAATACCAGAAGTCACACAAGTCAAACACAACAAATTTATGTGGCAGTTCAGGGATTTTTTTCATTTATTTTATTATTTTTATTTTATGTGTATGTGTATATTCCCTGCATGTAGGTCAGTGAACCCATGTTGTGCAATGCCCACGGAGGTCAGAAGAGGCTGTCGGATCCCCTGGAACTGGAGTTAGGACAGCTGTTAGCTGCCATGTCAGTGCTGGGATTCGAACCCAGGTCTTCTGCAAGAACAGCCAGGGTTCTTAACCGCTGAACCATCTCTCCAGCCCCGAATTTTTTAAAAATCTGCTGCCTCATGCCTTGACTCTGTTAAGTCTGTCTGGGAGGGCAGTGTCTCTGTCTGTTTATACCAAGGTTTAACTTATGATTAAAGAGCACCTGTGCTTCAGGCACAGCAATGAACACTTTGACCTGTTTCCTAAAGAAAAAGATTCATTTGTTTCCTATACCTGAAGTCTTACAAGTTTTCTTTTGGAATTTTAAATTAAGTTCAAAGGTGAGGTCTGAGATTATTTTACTAATGCTCTAACTAAAGCTACGTTATCTCCTTTCATCGCCGAATTTTTCTTTCAACACTGAATTTTGATAACACTCATGCTACCTAACCTAGGCCATGCTTTTCAAAGGGTAAACAGTAATGCTGAGGCTTCAGGTTGCCAAGCATGCTGGTCATAAGAGGCTTTCTTGAGTCTGACCTCGGCTGAAGACAGTTAGACATTACACACTCAATTATGAGAATGAAGCAGAGGCCAGAGGTGTTCATCAGCAAGCAGAACAGAGGTAGAATGAAAACATCAGTGTCTCACCTTCTCCAATGAAGGGGTACTCCATGCTGTCTCTCACCCCAGGTTCAATTTCTACTTCCAGTGTTCGTTCTTCATTCACTAGTCTGAGACAAAGGGAATTAAAAAGGGGAAAGAAAATACTAACTAAACCCCCGATATAATACGTTTTATCATTACATCAGTTTTTTTCTTGGAAGACAATACTATGCTTATACTTGACAAGGCTATGTGGGGCCAGTGCATATATTCTTGATATCAAAACTCAGAGCAGAGCTACTATATGCTACATAAACTACAACATTGTTCTCATAGTCCAGCTGGAAGAAAGCAAACACATTTGTCAAGTATAGTTCGTAAATAAAAGGTGCTGCTTATTAGTTCAGAAACAGAAAAGGAGATACTCAGGAAAAAAGCACTTCAGGAAAAAAATTTAAATGCACGTTTTTGCTGAATCCTTTGATGGGACAAGGTTGTGGAAGGGAAAGCTAGGTACAGATGACTGGAATTTTGTTAGACAAATGAGAGAATTCAAGTGTTTCTTGAAACCCATAGAGGGGCTTTCACTTACTTGACATTAGGGCACTCGTCACAAACCACCTCCTGGGTCATCTGGAAGCGGCCTGGGCCCAGCTGTGTGGTTCGCATCTCCTGCCGACAGTTGCATTTCCGCTTGCCCGGAGCCTGCCTGGCTACAGGCTTGTTTCTAACTACCTGAGAAGGACACAAAACAGGCTTTAGTTTCCTCAGCGGAGGAGTGCTCTGCATGCATCCCTAGTCTGGAACTTCCCATTCTCTGCCGGTTATCTCTCAGGGAAACCTAAAGCTGACAATACTCTGAGGTGTGCAATTCAACCCCCATACAGGAACGAAGCAAACCTAACAGTAACACGACTCCAATCCCAATCCTCCGCTGGAGAAACAGAGATGAATAAAATGAGATCCCAAACTAAGGTGTGTGACACCAGCATTTCCAAGACACAACTAGGCGCTACTGCATTAAAGTGTTCATACAGCATAGAGTTCATCTTTTTAGATACCTGACCCCTGAAAAACAAACCACGGTGCTCAAAAGCTGCTATGTGGCTACTATCTAATTCTACAAGTAACGTACCAAAAGCATGTCTTTGTTTCAGGCAACTCAATCCAAGATTAATTCCCACTGCTATCACCATTCACTCTAACAATGGAACAGACAACAGACATCTCTTTGCAGCTGACTGCAGTCAAACATCTGATTCCCTACATACATGAAATTGATCCATATAAAGACATGGCCTCAGCTACACAGCGAGTCTGTGGCCAGCCTGGGCTACAGGAGACCCGATCTAACAAAACAAAACCTAATCTCAAAATAACATGCTCATTATAGCAGAGTGACACAAATGCTTGGAGAAAAATCTCTTAGAATCTATCAACATATGAAAACCCAGGCCAACAGAATTAATTATAGCAACAATAATATATTAGTCAAACACAATGAAACTTTATCCAGCTACACACAAACAACAAAAATGACTCCTAGTAAAATCATAGCAATAAGTCTGCCCAAAAGATAATGAATATGCCATTTTTACAAACTCAAAAATAATAAAAATACATTATTTAGGTATTTATGTGTATATAATAAACTAGAACAGCAAAGGAATAATACTATGAAGTGAGGGGATGGACAGGGATGTAGCATGTAGCAGACGAAGTCATGGTGGTGTTTTAGTTCTTGGGCTAGGTGAGTTCAGTCTGTGAAACAATGAATATTATGAACTAAGGAGTGTGATTAATTCAGTTCTATGCCAGTCATTTCCTCACAGTCTCTAAAAGACAGAGAAAGTACAGTAAAATCTCTTAGTTTCAGTCTCTTATTTTTAGTCGAAGTATACAGTCTAGCAGTCAATATAAACAGATGTATCATTTGAACTTACTTCCACAAAATTTCCCGCATACACTTCTTCCAAAGTGACTTCTAGATCTACAATGATGTCACTTCCTCTTGGAATATTTCTGTCTTGCTGACGAGGGGTTCCTCCAAACATGAAACCAAAATCTCCAAAGAAGCTATGAAGGAAGGTAAATTAATCAGGAAAAGGAACTTGAGTTTATGTCTCCCAATGACTTAATTTTCTTTACATTGATAAAACATTGTTTCCTACCAATATACTATACAGAATACACATTTTTAATACATTGGAGTTAAATATTATATGAAAATTTTAATTTACATGTCAAGTACATTGCAACTATATTGCTGCATGCTACAAAAAACTTTACTCCATAATACAATATAATCCACATATAATAGTATATGGATTTACACACAGAATACCAATGAATTCAATGCTAGA